TGGAGTCCGTGTGAATGGAGGTGGCGGTTAGGACGCTGACAGGGCCAGAGCCAGGGTCTGCCAGTGGTCAGCTTTGTTTACAGGCTGCAGAGGCCACTGGGCTGGCCATTCGGAAACACTACCACCACCAGGGGCTCATACTTTGCTGGTGCATTTTCCCAGATAAGGTCTGGAGACTACATATTCAGATTTATATCTTTCTTGATAGTGAAATTAATTAGATGCCAGCCTAAGCCCTTAAGGAACTAAACCCACACAAACCAGACAGTTTTAAATTAGCCCTCTGGAAAATAAGAGGGAGAAGATATAAAATTAAGGTATTTTGAATTTAGGAAAATATTTTTCTTTTCAGATTTATTTGTTGATTTTAGAGAGGGGAAGGGAAAAAGAAACATTGATTTGTTGTTTCACCCATTTATGCATGCATTGGTTGCTTCTTGTATGTGCCCTCACTGGAGATCAAACCCAAAACTTGGCATATTAGGACGACAGTCTAACCAATTGAGCCACCCGGGCGGGGTAGGAAAATCCTTTTTAAAAATCTATATTGATTTGTGCTTCTCTTCTCAATATATTCCAAGTGTAATTATATATTTATAAACAGGTTGAGCAGAGTCTTTGCACTTTGGTAATGTTAAAACCAAATAAGTAGAAAATAAAGGTATAAAGGAAGAATATCATGCATTTGGAAATGATTTATTTGGAAAACTTTCTCTAAGATGTTTCTGTTGAAACTTAAGCAGGTTCATACTCTCTCTCATCCCCTCCTTTTGTGGTGGAAAATTCGAAAACCTCTCCTTAGAAGTTTTTCCTTCTGAAGCTGGAAAATAAAAGCCACAGATTTGTCTGCTGTAATTTGTCCATTTCAGCAATCATTTTCTCGTTTATTTTCCTTCCAGTTAGGATTTACTGCTCCAGTCCCTCCTTCTTCTCATTTTCTCAGCCTTCTTCCTACTCCCTTTTGTTTTTGCTCCTCAGTGATGCCCACAGCGCACCCGACGGCCACTGTGCACTGCTGTTAGCTCTGGGCCCCAACGACTTTGGGTAAGTTTGCATTAGCCTTTTCATAGTTTCTTCTCTTTGCTCCTTGTTGACACACTGCTATTCTGAGTTAATGGAATTTGATTCTTTTGCACATGATGGATCACAGCCGCTTCTGCTAAAACCTTCAGCATCTGTAATTTTAAGTCTTTCATCTATGCTCTGGGCAGGGAGGTATTCTCAATTATGCTCTCCATGCAGAAAAGGAACAGCAGGCCTTCTTGTGGTTATTAAAAATTATGTCTTTCATTTCCTGAGAGTAGCAGTGCCTGCCTTGGCAGTGTTAAAACTTTCCAGCAGTGGTAACTGGAAACACACACCAGGGGTCCATTTCTGAGGTGATGCGAGTTAAGTAAAACTGTGATTTTGATGATGGGTGGCACTTACAAGGCGTTTTGGTTTAGTTTTTTGAGGAAAGTCTAGGGAAGATTTCTTCAGTACCATGAAGAGCAGAGCAGTAATGGATGCCAATGGGTGTACTGAGTCCTTTTGAAAGATGGCATTTCATATAATTCTACTGAGGGTTTATGGCTGCCTTCCAAATTGAAATGGCGCTTTGTCACATCTTTACTGCTCTGAGTGTAGCTGCACAATGCTGATGCCAGCCTTGGTATTATAAATGTGAGTATGTGGCCCTGGCCAGTGTGGCTTAGTGGCTGAAGTGTCAGCTCGCACACCAAAGGGTCTCAGTTCGATTCCTGGTCAAGGACATGTACGTGGGTTGCAGATTCACACTCCTTCCCTCAGTAGGGTGTGTGCAGGAGGCCACGAGTTGATGTGTCTCTCATACTAATGTTTCTCTTTCTCTCTCTCTCTCTCTCTCTCTCTCTCTCTCTCTCTCTCTCTCTCTCTCTCTCTCCTTCTCCCTCCTTTCCACTCTGAAAAGCAAAGGGGGAAATATCCTCAGGTGAGGATTAACATAAACAAACAAACAAACAAACATATAAATGTAAACATATTATGTAATTTAGGTCAAATTTCTTGATTAGAAAATGCTGTAAAATCCATATAAAAATTAATGTCACCACCTCTGAAATAGCCGATTCTTTTTGCTTCAAAGATTCTGGTCCCATGCAAAAGAAAAACTGTCCTCTTCTTTTGAATTAAATGGTATTTTTGAAGTTTGCTATTAAAATTAAACACTTTTAAATCCAAGCTTACTGATTACAAATATTATGCCTATGGTTGAGGAATCATTTAGAATATAAGAGGGTATAGATGCAAATTTTTATTCTAAATAGACAAAAAATAAAATCAAGCAATGTATTAAATGATACATCATGATCAATTTGAGTTATTCAAAGAATTAAAGAATGGCATTAGATTAAAACATTTACTTTAGTAGATTAAAACGTTGCTGGCCAGTTGCTCATTAAGCCCATTTCTCTTCCTTTCCAGGCCCCCAGTAGGTGGCGGCTGGATTTGGGATCCCTGGGATATTTGCCGAGTGGCCTCAGACCCAGCACTGGCACTGGACTTGAATCTTTATCAATCAGGTGAACAAGACTTACCGCTACTTGGTGTCTCACTGAGAACCTACCTAACACCCCGTTGACCTCAATGGGTAGGTCTTTTAAATAAAAAGTCAACAAGGAAATGACACACTAGAGCAGAGGGATTTAAATGATATCTTCAAAGCATTTCACCCCAAAGCAGCAGAATATACATTCTTTTCAAGTTATTTTCTCTGCCTTAATGTTATGAAACTAAAAACCAATCGCAAGAAAGAAAAAAAAAAATGAAAAAACACAAACACCTGGAGGGTAAATAACATGTTACTAAACAATAAATTGGTTAACCATGAGATCAAGGACGAAATAAAAAGGAAGATACAAATAAATGAAGCATATCGTGTGTTCATGGACAGGAAGAATTAACATCATTAAAATGTTCATACTACCCAACGTAAGCTACAGATGCAACACAATTCCTATCAAGAGACCAATGGAATGTTTTGCAAAACTAGAAAAAAATATTCCAAAAGTTTATATGGAACCTCAAAAAGACCCTAAATAGCCACAGCAATCTTGAGAAAGAAGAACCAAGTTGGAGGAATCATGCTACCTGATATCAAACTATACTACAAAGCCATAGTAATCAAAACAGCTTGGTACTGGCATTAAAACAAATATATGAATCAATGGAACAGAATAGAGAGTCCAAAAAGGAACCTATGCATTTATGGTCAATTAATATTTGACAAAGGAGGCAAGAACATACAATGGAGTAAAGATAATGTATTTAATAAATGGTGTTGGGGAAATTGGATGGAAACATGCAAACAAAAGAATAACCTTTTACACCATACACAAGAATAAACTCAATATGGATTAAAGACTTACATGTAAGACTCAAAACCATACAATTCCTAGAAAAAAACATGGGCAGTAAAATCTTGGATTTTTCTTGTAACAATATTTTTTCTTCTATATAACCTTGGGCATAGGAAGTAAAAGCAAAAAAACAAATTGGACTACATCAAACCAGTTTTTGTACAGCAAAGGAAACTAAGAAAAGGAAAAGACAACTCACTGAATGGGAGAATATAGTCATCAATGCTACATTTTATAAGGGGTTTATATCCAACATTTATAAAGAACTTGTGTAACTCAACACCAAAAAACAAACAATCCAATTAAAAAATGGGCAAAGGATCTGAATACACACTTTGTCAAAGACGATATACAGATGTCAAACAGACATGAAAAGATGCCCAATGGCACTAATTATCAGATAAATGCAAATTAAAACCACAATGAGATAACACTTCACGCTTGTCAGAATGGCTGTCATCAATAAATTAACACACAGCAAGTGTTGGCAAGGATGTGGAAAGTGAACCCGCATGCACTGTTAGTGGGAATGCAGATTGGTGCAGCCATTGTGGAAAACAATATGAAGTTTCCTCAAAAAATTAAAAATGGAACTGCCTTATGGTATTTCAGGAAAATGGAAACAAATAGCTGGGTTAACAATACTTTGAATAAATAACCAGAAGTGGAATTGCTGGGTCCTTCTTTGTTTCTTGAAATAGCCTTTGTTTTAAAATCTATTCTGCCTGTATAAGTATTGCTAACCCTCTTTTGCTTGTTTGTTTCCATTTTTCTGAAATATCATTTTCCACCCCTTTGTGTGCCTTTTGATCTGAAGTGAGTCTCTTGCAGACAGCATATGTAAAGGTCTTGTTTTCTTATTCCTTCAACCACCAAATATCTTTTGATTGAAACTTTTAATCTACTTACATGTAATAGATTATTGATAGATTTATATATCCAAAGAAACCCAAAACACTACTTTGAAAAGGCATATGCATTCATATGTTCATTGCATCTTTATTTACAATAGCCAACATATGGAAGCAAACAAAGTGCCCATCAAAAGAAATAGTGTACATATACAATGCAATATGACTCAGTCACAAAAAAAAAAGGAAATCTTGCCATCTGCAACAACACAGAAGATATTGTGCTGACTGAAATAAGTCAGAGTGAAAAAGACAAATGACACATGATTCCACTTATATATGTAAGCTATAAAACAAAATAAATGAACAAAGAAAACAAAAACAAACTCACAAAGAGAACAAATGGATGGTTGCTAAAGGGGAGGAGAATTCGTAGGATGGGTGGAAAAGGTTAAGGGATTAACAGTCATGGGGATGTAAAGTATAGCAGAGAGAATATAGTAAGTAATAATGTAATAACTATATATGGTGTCAGATGGGTACCAGATTTATCGGGGTGATCACATAATAAGATATATGGAAGTTTGATCACTACACCTGAAACTAATATAATACTGTATGTGAACTGTAATTGAAAAATACAAAAATTATTTAAAAAGAAAATAATCAAATAAAAAGAAAATTCTGGCTTATCAGTCATTGAGCTACTGGCCTGAAGGATTATGCCACTTCCTGGGCCAGGACCACACTACATGACATGGAACACGCCACAATCTCTTATATAAAGAAAATTTTATTACTGAAAAGATCACATAAAAAAAGGTTTTTGTATACAAAGTTAACAAATGTGAAAAAGTTAGTATTTACAACGTTTTCCATACAGTACATGATAATTTTCTTTGTATGTTCTAAGTGAATGGTAATAGAGAAAAAACCAAAAGCATCAGAAAACCTATTTGAGGAATACTACTTAATTAGAAACAAAGTTAAGAATATTCTTCAGTATTTTAAAGTATATTATATGAAATTTGACTTATTTTGTCAGGACTACATTTTTTTCATTTGATTGGCACTAATATTGCTGACATACTTTTTCATGTTCAGCAAAATCCTATTTAGCTGCAGAAATGAATTCTACATAATATCTGGAAAAGATACTGCACAAATACAAACCATATGTAGTATTCTAAGTGTTAAAAGACAACAGTTAAAACAAAAGTATAAGCAACTGTAGTGGTCATAACAACATAATCCTGGGTGGGCAAGAAACATTAAAAAAAATCGATTGCACTTGGCTTAATTTATAGAAGAGTAACAGTCCATCTACTAATCCTGCAGGACATTTTATTTTTAAAATGTAAAAGGAGCAGCAAGCAACATAATATAAACATTAGACACTCTTTCAAAGAGCACCTTATTTCAGTTGTGTAATAGAGCTGTGAAACTTATAAAAACAATTCGACTTATAAAATTCACATACTGAAGACAGTAAGGTACAGTAAGTGGATTTTTTAGTTGAATTCCCATTATGACACCTCTGATGTGCCAACTTTTTATTCTACAAAAAAATACTATTTTTCAATTTTCTTAGCAGTTCAGTGTAAAAGCTACCAAAGTAGTGTGAAAATAAGATATCAGGTAACATAATAAAATATTTGAGTAGATTTTCCAGGATATCTAAAAAAAACTTCAAATACATATAAACTTATTTTCAAATACATAAAAAATATGTAAGGATAAGTTTTAAATACTTCAGCAGAGAAAAATCTTGATTTTATATCATAAAAGTAAAATAGCATTGTACACCTTAAAATACTTTTAACAAGAGCAGAATCTTCATAAATAAAAAAAGGAAGATTCCTCTAACTCCCTCTTCCCACACAATTTAAGAAAATATTACTAACCTGCACATTTCTGTCTTTCGGGTATATTGCTGTCACTGACCTCTATGTGAAATGGGTCGTATTATTCTCAGCATTTCTTGTTTCCAGTGTAACAGCAGGCAGTGCAACTCAAAGCACAAAGGAAGGATATAATAGTGGTTCTTGTACGACGGTGTATGCACACCGCCTCCAGTGTGACACAGTGACACTCTAAGTAACGAGATGAGCTGGTTTTCAGGTGTCCGCGTGGCTGCCGGCGCCCTGCTCTTTTCCAGCTCCCGGAGCCGAGCGGCTGAGCAGCGACGTGGAGCCGTTGGGGCTGCTTGGTTCTGAAGGACAGGGGACCTGCAAGCTGTTGCTCTGCACGGGGCCGGCTTCGGTGACACCAGTCTTTGGAGCCCCCCTAGGCAAAGAACAGAAGCGGACATACATACACACCAAGCACACAGGTGGTGCCAGGTGTCCTTATAACTGCTCCTCCCCTGCATGAGCTTTACTTCCAGCCAGTGTCCACTTTATCATAGGATAATTGACTAAAACTGCATGTCTAGTCTAACACCTCAAAACAACAAATACTTTATTTTCAAATAACGTTTGCTAGTGAGCATTGGTGGTTCAGTGGTAGAATTCTCGCCTGCCAAATAACTTTGGAACTTTGGAAACTGTCAAGCACACCCATGCATGGGCTGAGCATGGTGTCTCCTGGGGAATACAATTAATGAGACAGGCTTCCTGCCCTCAGATCAGCAAACATTTTATTGATTTTCCACCATGGATCGACTATGGAAGCAGCAGGGAATACAACGGTAAGAACTCAGCTCTGCCTTTAAGGAGTTTACAAATCTAGTGGGGGGTGAAAGCATATATGTAATTACAATTCAGGGGTGAAAAAGCTGTTCCAGCAACATAGAGAAGGTGCGTTTGGCCTAGCTCGAAAGGGTGAGGTAAGACAACCTTGAGACCTTCAAGTAGTTGTCAGCATTCTGGCTAACTTCATGGATAGCTGTGTTTGGATCACTTTGACTACATGGAAATTTCATTAAAGATAATGTCAGTATCCTTTCATGCTCAGAAAATAAAAACATCTTATAATGTTTTTATAAGATGGGAACATCCGGCCCGAGAGCCATATAAAGGACCAAAAATCATTTGGCCTGTCCCTGTCAAGGCATTAGGGGTGAGTTAATTAAATGTTTGGCCAAATATTGGAGGCTAATTTTTAAGTGGATAATTTCGTATGGCCCCTGAATGATGTTATAAATATACAAATGGCCCTTGGCTGAAAAAAAGGTTCCCTACCCCTGGCGACTCTAAACTGACAAGTACCTTTTAGACACTACTGTAAAGCAGTACTAATTAAAACAGCCTGAAGATGGTAGTTACACTCATCTCTTCCCAAGACCAAACTGGAATTTCAACTAAAATATAGATCAACCTTAGTAAAATTTAGCCTATATTTCTGATAAATCTTAATCATTTACCTAAATATACATGTAACTCTTAACAATTACCAGAGAAATGAACGAGTGTTCTACTTGAACAACATTCATGAAGCATCTTCTCCAAGCTAAGAATTAAACTACAAAACGGAATATTCATAGGCTGAACTGCAACTTCTTAAATTCAAACTTTCTGGGATTAGTGTATAAACATGTCGTCTGGTAGAATGCTTTCTTTGCAAACATGTTACACTTTAATAAAAAATGTATAATGCGTATTTGAAACAGTCAAGACTTGAGAGAACAGAAGCGAAGCTCACCTTCCTTCACTCTGCGCACTTTCGGACACACTGCTCTTCTCGGTCCCGTGGCCTGCCCGGCCTTTCCCGTCAGCCTGCTCCCCACAGAGTTTGGAGCTGGATCCCGCTGGGGAGGCAGGTCCCCCACAGTCCTGTGCTCTGGGTTTGGGGGTGTTCACTCCGTCTTCTCTCACTTCCTTCACTGATGTTTCCGGAGAAGTTTGAATTTCTGTCAAAGTTTCTTGTCCTAAGTAATCGTGGTTAGCAATCGCTATTGCAGAAGTGCCATGATTTGCTGACGTTCCTGTGCTGGTCCCCATGGATTTGGAAATGACCTTCAGCTTATGTGAACTTGGCTTGTAGTGCTTTTTGTGTTTAACTTTAGAGTTGTGCTTTAAGAAAAACTCACATGACTCCTGTAGTACTCTTCGACTCTCACTGATTGGACTGTAAGAAAGGAGAGGATTTACTTAAAAATGGTGTTATAATAGAAGCCATAAAGCATATCACATAGCTGTGCTAAAAGACCTTATTCAGTATAGTTAAAAGTTATATAAGATTTACTTACAAAATATGGGATCATAACTACTAAGCGATATAAGTGAATTGCCATGATGTGAAATCTTTTATGGATACACTGTTAGTTGCTTTTGTTAGTATAAATAGTAGACTGGTAAGGAATTAAATAGGCAACACCTAAGAATGAGGGCAAGGAAACACAAACCGGCTTAAAGTAGAGGCCTAACTGCATGCGTACCATATGTAAATATATCAAATGTTAAAATAAACCAGAAGAGAGAGGACACAGAATATGATTAGTGGTCTGCTTAAATTAAACTGTTTTCTTTCTAATATTAAAGTCAGCAAGTTATACTTAAGTTAGTGTGGGTATATAAATATAGAAAAGACATATAATAATAGTGCTAAAAATTTAAAGTCCAGTTAAATGCAATCCTTCAGATTTCAAAAACTTATTTGTGAAAGAGTCTACAGTTCTTAAATTTTTACCACAAAAAAGTTCATTTATCAAAACAAGAGGGAATGGTTTAAAAAACTCTCTTGTACACTTCTGATAGTACATAGAATACAATGTACTTAAATAACTGAAGTGAACTATTCACTCAGAAATGTAAGTCTATATTGTTATAGAATATTCCTTAAGTTTGAATTTTTACTATCTTAGGCAAGGTAAATAAGTGAAATTTTAAGTCAACACTATGTGTAATAAAATTTAAAGATAAATATTGACCATTAAGACATCACATCCGAATCATCCTTTATAGATTTCCTTACATATACTTGATCCCATTTAATATTTTATCATTGATAAAAAAGGATTAAATTATTAAAAGTGCTATCCCCCAAAATAATGAATCCAATGAGAGCAGTAATAATATAAGCCATGAAAAGAAAATGCACATTTTATAAATCTTTCCTTCATATTTCAATAGACTAGCACATGTCAGACTATTATAAAGATGCCAGAGGAAAGCATCTCTCTCCATGAAGATTGCCAAGCTTGAAACAACCGATATAATAAAGTTCCAGTACAATGATGATTGAAATAGTTCTCTGGTGTTTGAGCTATTTATTTCTAAGACAGTGTCAGATAGTTCAATAGGTTCTTACTCTCTCTTGCGATTGCGTTTAAAAAACCCAGCCCACTCTGTGCATGTCTTTTTGCTTCCAACCCAGAAGACGGCAGAGATGCCAACAATTAATGTCATCAGATATTTTATCATAAACAAAGCCAATTCTGGTCGACTTTCTGCTTTTGCCTGTAAAAAAACGGTGAATAAACATTTCAGTGATACATTTTAAGTGAAGTATATATAGTCAATGTAAAATGAACAAAAAAATTAATCTGATCTGTTTTTTATAAAATATTTAATATTTTATAATTTACATAATAGTGTTTTAAGTGTCAATACATTCTTTACCTAATTTCTGAACAAATAACCTTATATATATGTCAAAATATGTAGCTAGTAAGGGAAAAATACTTAAATATATTTAGGAAGGATGTCCTTCCTAATCTTGGCTTGATTTCCTGAACTTTTTCCTCTTAGAACTGCCAAATATTTGCCTCTAAATATTTATATTTTTCCTTCACTTTAATCTACCACAAAAACACACACATTTAAACTCCTTATAACAATATATTGTTTTAGAATCTTTACACATTGTTGGTGTTTATGTTATAAAATCGATTTGTTAGAGCAAAGTAAGTATTAAATTGAAAATTTCATAAAAAATAATCCATACTTTTTTATAAGTATAAACTTTAATATTATTTTTAAAATGTTACTCAAGTATCAAAATACTATACATCCCATATTACATATTGCTCTTTTCACTTACTAATGTTTCTTGGTTATATTATTCTGTATCAGTAGAAATAGAGCTTCTCATTCATTTTTAAAGGCTGTTCCATTGTGTGAGCATAACTTATTCAAGTACTCTTATTAATGGATATTTAGGCTATTTTCAACCCATTGCCACTGTAATACTGTTGCAGTGACCATCTTTGTATGTAGGCAACCACTCACATTCGTGAGCAGATTCGTCTATAAATTCCCATAAGGACACGATCAAAGATATGTTCATTTTAAATGACAGATACTGTCAAATTACTTTTCATAGAAGGTTGAACTGATTAATAACAAAGTCTGAGAATGTGCACTTCGCCAGTTTCACCAACACAGTGGCTATAAAACCTTCAGATGTTTGCTATGACATAAGTAGGCACAATAAGTCATTGTAAATTTTGTTGTTGTTATAAATCCTCACCCGAGGGTTTTTTCCCCATTGATTTTTGGAGAGTGGAAAGGAGGGAAGTAGAGAGACAGACAGACAAGCAGACAGACAGACAGACATTGATGTGTGTGTGTGTGTGAGAGAGAGAGAGAGAGAGAGAGAGAGAGATCAATCGGTTGTCTTTTGCATGGGCCCCAGTAGGCCAGAGATCGAACCTGTAACCTAGGTAGAGCCCTTGACTGGGAATTGGACCAGCATCCCTTCAGTCCTTGGGCCAATGCTCTAACTATTGGGAACACCGGCCAGGGTTTATTATAATTTTAATTTGAAATTCTCTTACAACATTTTGCACATGTCAGAGGATTCATTTTCTGTGAATCCTCTACTTCATTTTCATACCAGACTTCGTTTTTTTCTTGTTGATCTATAGGAACTCTTTATAAATTAAGAAATTAGCCCTTCAACTGTGGTATATTGTGTGAATAAATTTTCCCAATTAGTTTTCTGACTTTGATTATGGTGGGGATTTTTGCCATACACAAACATTTTTTTAATGTAGTCAAATTTAGCAATTATTTCTTTTAAAGTTCCTGAATTTTATATCATATTTATTAAGTCCTCCACTTTGTTTAGAATTTTCTCATTGAATCTTCTAACACTTTATAGTTTATTTCCTTACATGAAATGTAATTTTTAAAAATTGTAGACTTTAAACTTTTTTGGCAGTATTTAATAATTGTATTTTCCTCCTACCCCAAAATTCTGAGAATACAGAAAACATTTACTGCATCAGGATAACTTTAAGACATAGCTCACTTTTTAAATATATAGTAAAAATAACCTACTGATAACAGGCTGTAGACAGTATGTAAGGTAAGTAAAACTATTATTCCTACCCGTCAGTATTTAAATAGGTTCCACTGTGTTAAAATGTAGTAACTTTCTGGAATATATATTATTATGTAAAATAACCAGCCCACACATTGTTTGATTTAATAACTATGATGAAGTACTCATAATCAATATAATATATAATACCATATATAAATATTCAAGAAAAACATAAAATCTACTTAACACAATTTTTTTTTCATTAAAAACTTCAATTAAAATCATTTAAATTTTTTTTCTATTTTCAGAACTTTACTTCTTTAATCTTAACACCACTTTTATACTGATAAACATCAGGAGCATATGAAACACATTTTATTTCAACTGTACTTTTTTCAGTTAAGAAATGACAGTATGGTTTAGGCAAAAATAAAGTTCTGTTTTTATAAGCAAATAGTCTGCACAAAAAAAAATTATAGGATAACCCAATCAAATTAAATATACCCAAATAAAAATTTCCCTATTAACTGAAGAATTTAAAACAACTCCCAATTCAGAAATTACTTCTCTTATTGTATTTTTCCCCAAGACCTGTTCTTCTGAGTCTTTTCTTCATGTCATTAATCTACCTTCACAACTCTATATAATTTTGAAAAGAACAGTAAAAGGAGACATTTATTATCATAACAAACTGAAAAACCTAAAGACACTTATCCCAGTTTCAACTGATGTGGAGGAAATCAATCCCATGTCTGCTGGGTTTCTCGCCTGAAATTTTAACTTATGCTCATAATTAATTCAAGTCTATTTCCAGGAAACGTTTCTATGCTACAATCAAATCATGAAACAATACAAATGACAGCTTTTACCTGATAAGGACATGGGATGTGGTACTGACGACAGTGGTCAGAGACCCATGTGATCTCCCAGGTGAGCCTGTTCGCTTGCTCATAGACGTAACACCCAAGAAGGGTCACTAATGGCACGAGATACAGGCCACTGAAGACTCCAATTCGAATCATGAATTTCTTCAGTTTTTCTTGGTTGCGGCCATCATGTTGTATCACTTGCCGCACGTGATTTAAGGAGATGATTCCGGCTAAGAGGAGAGACAGCCCGACAACCACACAGAGGCACAGCGGCAAGAGGACAAAGTAGCGAGAAGCATCCAGGTCATAGAGGCCAACAAAGCACACTCCACTGATGTTGTCCCCCTCAACCTTATTCATTGCAAGCAGCATGACAGTGAGAAAGCCTGGCGTCCCCCAGGCCACGGCGTGAAACCACACTGCTTTTTGCTCAATGGCTTCACAGCTCCATTTTCTTCCTGCAGCCAAGAACCAAGTAATGGTCAGGATCACCCACCACACAGTGCCGGCCAGGGTGAAAAAATACAAAAACATAAACAAAATGGTGCAAGCCTTATTTTGAGAGCCTAGCACTACCGTCTCACCAACTTCTAGCTTCTCGTCGGCTTTATTGCAGGCTGTGCTATTGCCTAGCAAGAATCCAATAAAATACATAAGAGATACAATGCTGTAACAGACTGAGTAATATATAATTGGTCTCTCTGGGTATCTGAATCTTTTAACATCAATTAAAAAGGTAAGGAATGTGAACAGAGTTGCGCACAGACAGAAGATTGAAACTATTCCGATAAAGCTTTTTGCGAACTCCAGCTCATCGCTTTTAAAATACATGTTGGGGCACGGAGGTGCACACTGGTCAATTCCCAGGAATTTATAGCCTTGTCCCCCAGAGGTCTTAAGATGCCTTGGACACCATATTCCAATGTCTCTTTGGACTTGTTCTGTTTTCTTCTGAGGACCGAGAAACTCTGTGTGTGGATCAAGTGTTACAGGAGCAGTCTCATCACAATACTGTAATCTGTAAAAATTACAAAAATTAAATATATAGTCAACATTTTTATTGAATCACTATTTTAATGCTATGCTTTCCAATTATAAAATAGTTCCTTATGCATTCATAATTGATGGGAAGACACACAAACCTATAGCACTACATGTTAGCTGGGTAGAAAGTTTTGAAGTTGACTAAAAATTTGTGTGGTTAATGAGGCCCTAACAAACTAACAAATATTAAATACAAGGCAAATGAACATATAAATTCCCTTACTTGGGAAACAATCAATTAATAATTTAAAAATAATGTTTGCTCTCAAGAATAAATATTTAAGATGAAAAAATTTTCTTGCTTGTACTCTCCAGAAAAAAAATAAGAAGTACAGCCTTGTCTGTTTATAAGCATATAAAATACAAGCCTTGGAAAAGTGAATTTTTATTATCTAACCAGAGGCCCGATGCACAAAGATTCCTGCAAGAATGGGCTTTCCTTCCCCTGGCTGCCGGCACTGCCTTCGCTCTGGCTGGGGCCGCCCTCCCGCCTGCCCACGCTGCCCCGAGGCTGGGAGCAGCTGGGGTGATGCGGAACGCCATGACTTCTTGTTGGTGTAGAAGTCTCGGTGAAAGGAGATTTCCTAGATGTAGGGTATGAGCATCTTCAACTTTACTATATACAGTTGACCCTTGAACAATATGGGTTTGAACTGCAATAGATCCACTTATATGCAGGCTTTTTTTTTTTTTCAATGAATAGTTTTAAGTGTATTTTCTCTTCCTTATGATTTTCTTAACATCTTTTGTCTAGCTTGCTTTATTGTAAGAATATAGTATATAATACATATAACATATACAAAACCTCCATTAATTGTTTATGTTATTGGTAAGTCTTCTGGTAAAAAATTTAGTAGTTAAGTTTTTGGGGAGTCAAAAGTTATACACGGATTTTCGACTGCATGGGAGATCAGTAATCCTAACCCCTTAGTTGTTCAAGGGCAACTGTATTATTCATTTGTTCTTGAAAATAACTATGAATTTAGCAGAAATGTATGAGTTCCATAAAGTTTCTTCAGTTCACAGGTAAACAAAAAGGTAGCTATCTTTCTTCCCAGATTTATTATATGAGTTCTTATTGTTTCAGTACAATATTTCAAATTACAAGCTTATTTTGTTTCCAGAGAAAAGGAAACAAAAATAATTTATAAAGACTAATGTGCAAAAAGTGACTTGATAATAAGATTTATTTCCCCCCGGAAAGGTCAAAGGCACTATTACATGTTCTCCTAGAACTATGTACCTCGCCTTTGTTATATCTAAGCACAGTTATAAATTTGCATTTCTTATATAATTATTTGATTACTCTCCATTCCTTCTACCCCTCTGTAAGTTCCCCGAGAATAAGAACCAAGTCTGTTTTTTCTCACCATTGGGTCCATGACACTTATCACCACGGTACCCTGGGACATGTTAAGGTGTAATAAACATTTGTTGAATCAAATAACGAAAACCTGTCACTAACATTCTGGAAAGCGAACACCAATATTAAAATATCATTATCATTAGTAGTTTTCGGTTTAAAACATAATTTACCTGTCGCATTTAAGTTCCTCAGGCCACTGGATCCCAAAAGTGTCAATTAAGTTTTTGCAATCAGAATATACTTTTTCACAAAATTTACGACAAGGTGGGTCCACATGAATTTGCTCTGTGCAGGTTGGTACAAAAGCTTTGCAAAGGAAAGTTTCAACATTTGGTGAACAATTCAGATTTGCAAGAGGAAGGAAGTGCTATTAAGAAAAACAGCAAGATAAGGTTAGGAAACTTTTTAATAACAAATGGAGAAATTAGTCAATCTACTGTTCAAAGTATATACATTTTTACTTATACTCCCAAAGAATATTTAATTATCACTCTCGATACAATCAAGTTTTGAGATCATTTTGTTTAATCTGTTAGACTTAGGAACCTTCAGACACAATGCAATATTATTTTATTCAATTAATACATTTTAAGAAGATGTGCTAAATCAAAGCAAAGCAAAAGCTTGTACTGATTGTTAGGTGAAATAAATTATACAAACGTTCAATTTATAAGTATACACAGAAATACCCTAACACTGTCTGAGTATCCTGAAAAATAAAGCAATCTGGGGCAGAGGGAACAGCATGAGAAAGATGTGAGAATCACAAGGACATAGTCCATTCTGGGCAAGACGTACAGGGTGACTTAATAGAAAAAGGTCAAAGAGGTGGAATCAAGGGCAGACTAAAGAAAGAGATGAGGCTGGAGAAGTATGCTATCATAGGGAGCATTAATGACATGCTAAGTTGTTTGGATTTCAAAATAAAGAGATGAGATATTATTGGAGAATTTTAAGCAAGAAGTAAGTCTGGAGTCTCACAGCTGAGTGTGAATCCTAGGTCCACACTTACTGTTTGTATCTTTGGCAAGTTACTTAACTTCTGTGTTTTAGTTTCTTTATTTGTAAAATGGCAATAACAACAGTAACTGGCTCACAAGATTGTTGTGACTACCACATTAATAAACATAGGCATTCAACAAATGTTAGTTACTGTGATGATTACACTGTAGAGCTTAGGGATGGGTCCTGGATAAACATGGTACATTGACCACATGTGTTTATCTTTCTTCCCTGTTCCCTCAGTACAATGACAATAAAGAAAATAAAGATACTAATCCATTATTAAGTGAACAGGAGATACCACATTCGTGTATTTGAATTTTCCAAAGAACAGAAACATCTAAAAAGAAAGTCCCAAAACTTTGAGTGACAGAAAGCTAGTAGAGGAGTGCGAGGTGACTAAATCAGACATGGGGTGGATTACAGAGTGGAAGGCTCACATGAGCATGAACTGATCTTGCCTTTAGGAAACGGAGGGTCTCAGTTCTTCCAGGCGCCAAGTAGCATAACAGGTAAAAACTGGGGGCTGTTTACAAATCAGTTCCTCTCTCTGTTATCCCCCCACACCCACCCCAACAATGCCCCCTAAAACCTATCAGGGTTAGTTCCAGGAGGAATGGAGCTACAGATGTCCTTACTACCTGGCACAGATCTGGGCAGAGGTGCAGCACAGGGTGAAGAGGCTGAACTGACTAAAAGACTAGGGAACCATGAAGCCCTCATCCTTTTCCTTCCCTGTTTCCAAAAGGTTGGCAGACAGGCATATGTTACCATCTCCGATCTTTGAAAAAAAAAACTCAACAGTCCTAGACAAGAGGAAAAAACCTCTAGCTATTGACCATGAAAAAGCTTGACTTCACCTTAGAATGAAGCCAGTACCAAGCCCCATTGCTGCACATGGAGTTTTCAATGCACACACATTTAAATGGGCAGCCAAGAATCATCAGGCATCTGAATAAAGCCTTACGAGAGACAGATACCAAAACAAGCAAGCAGTAAAGGGAAATTTGGAGGGAACAGATTATGCGGGGGACAGAAGAAAACAAAACAAAATAAATCACAAAATAAACAAAAATGTTAATGTTAATTGGGAAGCTATTGCATTCATTAAAAAGAATAGGATACTACAGAAAATTAAAATAATAAGATAGCTGAAATAAAGAACTCTATGGAAGGATTAGAAGACAAAGCTGAGGAAAGAGATGGATAATTAGGAAATCCTTCCAATCAGAGCATCTGTCTAAGTGCCTAACATCTGACTAAATGGGCTTCAGAAAGAAATGGCAGGAAAAACAAACAAACGGGAATGGGGCTGATAATCAAAGAATATAAGAACAGTTCTCAAAATAGAAGGATACCAGTCTTCACATGAAAATGCTGGCATCACACTTTGCAATCCTACATGTCTAGGCTAAACCTTCATTCGATTAACTCTTTTTTAAAGATCTCTCTCACATTCTCAAATTTTTAAACCCCCAATTCCATACCCCATGCTCTCAGTTGATGATTTTGTTCCTAGTTCACTGAAAAGACAGAACAACCAGGCAATTTCCTCATCTTCTAAATAAATGTACCAGCATATCCGCAGCTTGTCTGCACTCTGCCTTTTGTATTGCAATGGATGAACAATTTGAACCCCTAATCAACCACAACCTTCATTTGTACAGTGGATTCTCTCCACTTGACTAGTCAAGGATTTTGTTTCTGCTATTGTCTCCTATTCTGGCAATAATTACTCCATCTATGCTACAAGGATTCCTCCATCAGACAAATGTGCTTTATCTCCCACCATAAAAAAAAAGCACCACAAAACAATATCTTCCCTTGATTCTATATCTCAATCCCTATTCATTTGTTCCATTTTCCTAATCCCCTTTATAGAAAATTCCTCAAAATAGTTGTGTAAACTTACTTTCTCCAATCCCACTCTTCCCATTGCTTTGTAAGCCCCCTCTCCAATCAGGTTTTATACCTCATACTCCAGAGAGAACTACCTTCGAAGTCACCAAAACCTTCTCATTGTCAAATTCAATTCTGAGTCCTCATCCTACTCAAATCTTTTTTTTTTAATATATTTTATTGATTTTGTACAGAGAGGAAGGGAGAGAGATAGAAAGCCAGAAACATCGATGAGAGAGAGTCATCGATCAGCTGCCTCTTGCACACCCCCTACTGGGGATATGCCCGCAACCAAGGTACATGCCCTTGACCGGAATTGAACCCGGGTCCCTTCAGTCCCCAAGCCGACGCTCTATCCATTGAGCCAAACCGGTCTCGGCCCTACTCAAATCTTAACAACGCCTGACATAATGGACTGCTCTCCTTCTGAGATACCTTTTTTTTTTTTTACTTGGCTTCTAGGACACAAGTTCTCCTGGATTTGTACCTATTCCGCAGGCTGTTTCTTTTCTGATCCTTTCCCATTTCCCAATATTAAATAATGAAGTGCCTCAGAGGTCAATCCTCAGACCTCTTCCCAATTTATGCACACACTGCTTAGGAAAAACTCATCCAGAACCATGGCATTAAATATCTACTATACATAAAAGATTCCCACATTTATCTCTGGTCCCCAGCTCTCCTGTGAACCCTAGACTTGAAAGACCGTCCACCTCCAGGACAGTTCCACTTGCTGACACCAGGCATCTCAAACCCATGTCCGAAACAAAGAGCCTGATATATTAAATAAATAAAAGCACAGCTGCTGGCTGAAGAGGAAGCCCTCCCTTTAAGACACCTCCCACTGACCTCAAAGCACCTCCAGAAATCACAATTTGAAACCAATGACCTCGATAAACTCTCAAATTACAGTGAGAAAAAGGTAATCCAATTTCTTACTGAAATCCCCAAATCTTACCTGTTAGAATTTAAGTGCCCTGATCTAATGCTACTTTTAACAATACTACAATATATACAATAGCTACTGATAATAAATCAGAGCTTTGATGTAGTTAACACTTAACCATAAGCTAGGCACTATGCTTTTTCAAATACCAATCTTTTTTATAATAACGTAAAATGTCAACAATGCTCTTGAGATTCTACATTCAGTAATAACTAAAATAGTCCCGTTGATTATAGTTTTAATGCTTCGAGAAATAAATTATAGGCTCCTTTAAGGAAATGGTGAGTCCCTGGAAGAAATCCTGTGGAAGTTAACTATTAGTAGCAGCAGGGATGAAGAAGAAGTCAACTAAGAAGGCCACTAATACTTCTACTCTGAAAAATAGCCAGAGCCAAACTATGATGGACAATGAGAACCAAAATAAGTGGAGCATTTTACATAACCCTTGGCTGGAAATAATGCCAGCGTTGCCATTCTGGTTACACCGCTGCCAATGATTTCCAGTGCCACCTTTGGAAGATAATTTTCTGTCTTTGAGTCTCTGAGCATCCATCAGTGATATGAGAGCGATGAACTACTAGATGATCTCTAAGGACACTTTGGGGCTCAAAAAGTTTATGAAGAGAGTAACAAAGCATAGAGTAACAGGGCTGGACTTAAACTTCAAAACAACTGTAGAAATTTTCTCCTTGGTAGGCGACTCTTGTAGAGTCTTGTACTGAGCTCTAGAGGGAACATCTATCACTTCTGCCTGCCCAGCAGTCCTGCTTTTGGAAACTCCAAAGTAGGTGGGATGCTACAGCAGCTTAAGGAGGGATGGTGTAGGGAGCAATCTGATAACAGAAACAGCTGGGCCATTTGGATGCTCCCAGGAGGAGAGGGTTGAATAAAGGAACAGATTGTTTGTGGGGAGGCAATAATGCCCACAAACAAAATAACGGCATTGACATTGGGACAGACTGGTCCTGGGATGTGATCCTAGCTGTGTCCTGGTTCCCTTTGCTCCTCCCTCTATTCTGAACCTCGTTCTTCAGCCTCCCCATTACTTGACAAGCTATTCAATATTCGTTCATTTTCTGCTTATGTGAGTCAAAGTTGGTTTCTATTGTTTACAACCAAGACACACTGGTACAGCAATTTTATATGTGATCTCAGTAAGAGGAACTCCAGGAGTGGTTTTCTAGATTGTCCTGGAAGGGTCAAATCAAGTTGAATTTGGAAAAAATAATTATATATTACCTACAAGACACTATTATTCATTTGTGTTGTTTCTGAATGTGATGGGTTAAGATGGGGCTAAGTTACACTGCTAAGATCTAATGTGCTAGCTTCCGAAACTGAGTTTTTGGAGGTTGGATGATAAATAATAGGCTTTTGACAGGGGCTCATTGGGACCCCAAAACCAACCCACTGTAATTTCCTAAATAAAGTGTATACTTCCATACTGTGTTTAGTAACGGCACAACTGCTACCTGGATAAATATTATTATGGTAGAAGGGGCCAAATGAAAACCACTAGA